GAAAACGAATCGAAAATTGATTGGGAAACATAAGAGATGTTTAAGAATGCTTTCAAGGAGAAGTTTTAGCATCATTGAAATAGACATGCTTAGATGAATCCAAGATTGGGGGCAAGTATCGCACTAAGATGAAGGCGATCACATTCGATGTTGATGATGACCCGGCGGGCCGTGTGATAAGGAAAAGAATAATGTNAACAATGAAAGAGATTGTTACGTCTTGGTCAAAAGATCGTACATACATAGAAGAAAGTGGTTAAGTGCAAGTGTGAAATCTCGGGCACACTACCATTTACAGGAAATGATCGAGTTAGGACCTCAGCCGGGTAGTATGTAGGTGGTTCGCTTGCTACGAAAACTTGACAGCCACAATACGACAGTCAGATGGAATCCCAAAAGGAGTGATTTCGACTGCCTACTTGTGTGTATATGTGAGCTGAGTACCAGAGTGCATGAGGTGCTTCACAAGTATCCGAACCAAACTTTCTCGAACATAACCTCTACCATAACAGGGGGCCAGAGGATTGATTTGTTTGAATTTCTTCGAAGCGTTTGTATTTTGCCGAAGAGGGATGGAATAATGATGAAGATAGATTGAGGGTTAATAGGTTGTTGTTTGTTAGAGTTGAACATGACGGTACTCTTCGAAGCACTGAGAAGACCACAGTTGTTGGAATCCTAAGTGAAATTTTGTTCCTGGTCAGAAGTGAGAGAGAGCGGCTGTGAGATCACATTGTGTTCTCAATCTCTTTCACTTTCAATCTTGTTGATTTCTCCATCTGGGATTGCCGCAATCTCGTTCCTTCCAATGCTTCCAAAACTTTCTTCGTGTTCATTTCTTTTACCGACAAACTTTCTCAATTCTCATGTGTAATTCTTCCTTTTTGGTCTTCTTAAATTCCCTTACTCGCTTGTCTTTTTGGGCACAAGATCAACCTCTCTTTCCGTGCCAGGTTGTTCTTCTTTCTACCCCGTTATCTATGGTACAAAACACATTCACCCACGTTCCAATATTGCAGTATTCTATGAGGTGATTCTTCAACCTTCATCCCTCATCCGTATTCCGCATAAATCGCTTCGCTTTATGGCGAATTGTAGTCCTCTTCCTCTCCCTCCAATAAATACGTTTTCATTAGATTATTAATAATATATGATATTAGCCTCTGCTGAGGGAGCCCTACTCACTACCTTCTCGTGGCGGAGGTATTTTCCCACCAAAGTGAGAGGATGAAGAGCCGACATCTGGGGCTATAACCGGGTTGGTGGACCACTGGTAGTTCGCCTAGGGGAGTTGGCCCAATATCCCTGATTCCAAACCAACCAAGAAGAGGTGTATGAACCACACCCACACCTTTTCGGTTGTGGCGATGGTCACCGGCTCAATTAGATATCGAGGCGTATTGGGCACCTTGGACGTTTGACCCCGTCCAAAGGACGTATAATCCGATGAACCGGACACCTGCTCCCAATGGGTTGCCGTTTTACAAACCGCTCCGCTGTCACGTTTTCATTAGATTATTAATAATAATATGTGATATCAGTTCATAGTTACCGAATTCCTAATAACTTATCACTCGTTTCCCGGACAGATTACACCAACGAGTTATCGGATGGTCCAATACATTACCATCAGAACTATGGCGGGGAAAAGGATCAATATCGTCACGTTTCTCGGCAGCACCGTCACGAGCATCAACACCACCACCACCATCATCATCACCATCATCATAATGCTCCGGCTCGTTACCATGACTCGGACGGAATGAAGCGTCACGAGATGGTCCCATTTTCGCGGTCCCGGACCTCACCGGACTTGTCTGTGAGTGACGGATTGGCCAAGTTAAACTAACTATTTTTCTACGTGATTTTGAATGTTTATTACCTCGGTTTTCATTTTTCGAGCACAATCGAACTGTTTTTTCCTATTCACGGAACACAGCCCAGCTATATTTTCAGCAGCTTCGTATATGCTATTTCTCATCTGTGGTCAGCCGGTCTGTGCCATCGCTGCTTTCTTTCATTCTACGGACGTGGCTCCCGGCTGATGATGACAGTAATGTAACGTTATCAGGTGTGGTAGGCTGAACAGATCTAATCCGAGTACGAAGGGGTGTATTTCCTTTCATGGGTACCTGAGAATTTAGTCTTGTATGTGACAGCCCACATCATGCGCCGAATTTGGTTGCCGTCTTTTGGTTGCCCGTTTAAATAAAGCAGCATCATTAAGATTGAAATCCTGAGAGCAGAGCCAAAATGAAGATAAAGAATTCATATAGATTTGGGTTGTAAGAATAATAAGTAGATGCATGGGCGCCACTGTTTGCGACACTCAGTCATATCACTCAGTGTCTCTAACCCCCGGTTACCATGATTTCGAGGTCCCCAGGGAGCCTACCGAGACCTATGTGACCCAGGCACCTGGTTAGGGTTTTCATTGCCTCCATGTCAGATTTTAGTTTGACTGCCCTTGACCTTTTTCCACCCACTACCTGCCTGGGCAAACATCGCTTGTCATGGCAACCCATTTGGTGACATGCGCAACACATGTCTCAACCAGCGTAGACTTACTTACTTACTTTACTTTACGGCGGCTGGCTCCTGGGAGAGGATAAGCCGGCTTCATGGCTATCTCGAATTGCCGCTGTCCACGCTCGGCGGTCTGCGGCAAGATCAGCGCATATTGTGATCCAGTTTGACTTCCATTGGCAAACTCCGTAGACGGAGCGGAGGCCAAAGTTTTCGGTATCCTTTCGCACCGTGTCCAGCCAGGTTTTCAGCTGTCCACCGAGCCGACGTCGCCAGTTCGGCCAGTGAGGCGGTGCCAAGACAGCTTTCATCAGGTCGTTAGCAGGCTTGCGAAGAATGTGGCCAAA